TTGATGCTCCTTGAAGAGCTACAGTGACATGGGGAATGTGCTTCATTGATGACAGTCATTTAGTTGAGGCTTTGGCTGACCCTCAGGACTGTTCTGGCCTTCTCGGGTGGAAGTTTATTCATTTTGAAAAGAGAGAAACTTTTGAAAGTGTCAAAGCCCTTTTTTTTGCAAGGTAAACTACAGCATGAGGAAGAAAGTCATGAATGACCTGGAAGGGTAAAAGAGCAATAGCAGCGCATATGCAACTATGCCAGATCCATGTCACTCCAGGGTCTCCCCTGGGACTGCTACTACTGATTTTTCTCTGCCTTAAAGCCATGGCTAGTGGGATTGAGTACAGCCTCAGCAATTGTGCAGATCTCTTGGGAGTAGGAGCCAGGCTGACGGTTTTGGAGGTAGATCTTCAGTCTGTGGACTTTATTAGAGGATTTATCCAAGCACTGAGCAGCCAGAAAACCTCTTTGGCTGCCCCTCCAGATGCCCAGGGCTCCCGAACTGTAATTTCCTGACTTTTCAGCTGGCTGGAAGCATATCCACGGTGGGTGGTCTGTAGCCAGCAGATTGGTGGAATTAGAAGGTGACTTGACAGGGGCAGTGGTAACACAGGGTTCCAGGGACAGGCTTAGGAGATCGAAGGCATGCTGCATTTGTATTGCAAACTTAAGGGATTAATGCGTGTCGGTTTTTATTTGGTGGTTTGGGGTTTTTTTAATTACATGGGGCACTATTTCTGCTGATAGGCGAGGGGAGCCGGAGGTATTGGGTATGATGAAACCATTCACGTAAGATGAACTGCTGCAGCAAAGACGCTCAGGGGCGAAGCAGGGAGACACACAGAGGACCGAGGAGGCGGGGGAGTGTGCTACTAAAGCGCCGCTGCCCCACAGCGAGCGCGGAGAAGGGCTCGGCCCCCGGGCGGGGCGGGCTGGCAGCCGGAACGGAGTCGGCTCTAAGGGGGCGCGGGTCGGGGTCGCTCCCACCTGGCCCCAGGAGCGCTGCCCCCAGGGCGGGAAGCGGCGGGAATGGAGCGGCCCCGGCAGCTCCAGCGAGGAGCAGTGTGCCCTCGCAGGGGAAGCCCCCGCCGCGCTGTCCGCTCGGCATAAGACCGCGTCCTCTGTGCGCTCCAGGCGAGATGCGGCGATCCCAGGCAGAACTCCCGGGGAAAACGTGCAGCCATCCGGGTGTCTGGGAGACGGGAAGGGCCAAGAGCCTGACGCTGGTATCGGAGGGCAGCAAACACCAGTGCGACCAGGTGGACAGTCTGCTCTGCTATAAGCTGAGAGGCAGTAGGAAGGTTAAGAAGGATCGGAGAGGCTGAGGAGATTGATGCGGCCACGCTCGGCAAACCCCGAGGCAAATGCACCAGCCAGGCTCATCACAAGGAAAGAAGTATCCCCTGCTCTCTCGCCTGCAGGCAGGAGAGGACCTAAGACAGGGGGAAATGGGAACAGATTTATCACAAATCACCTCCCCAGTTGCCCTTAAACAACAGGTAGGAGGTTCTGGAACTAAAGGGCCAGGCACATGACACTGTGGACAAAGGTCTGTTCAGGGTGGAGGGATTGCCTGGGGCGAGTCAGTTTATTCCCCTCATCATTGTGACCACCTCTGATAAGAAAAAAAGAAATGGTAATTTTCATTTGTGACTCCATTCTGAGAGGATTAGGGCTCCTGATAGGTCACAACCCGTAGAGAAGTGTGCTGCCTCCCTGGGGTTCAGGGTACTGATACTGCCAGGAAACTCTCCAGCCTCGTTTAACTCTCTCATTATTATCCTGTGCTGGTGTTTCACGTGGGCAGTGATGATATACCATCAAGAAGTCTTAAGGACAATCGAGACTTGTCAGGGTCTTGGGACAATTGGTTGAGGGATCTGGAGCACGGGGAGTGTTTTCATTATTCTGCCAGTTGCAGGGAATGATGGGGATAGAAACAGGAAAATCCTACAGATCAATACCTGGATTGAAGCCTAGTGTTATCAGCAGAATTTGGGTTTTTTGATCACTGCTTGGTTTATATAACACCTAGCCTGCTGGCAACAGATGGGGTACGCCTGTTTCAAAGTGGGGAAAAGGTACTTTGCTCAGGAGTTTGCAGTTGAAAGAGCTTTAAGCTATAGTTGAAGGGGGAAAGGGAGAAACCCAGGCTCACTAGAGATAAGCCTGGGGGTGGCATGCCACTGTGTCAGGGATCGTTTGCTAGCAAAGTCCCTCAGTATGCCATCTCAGTATAGGTAGGGAACAGAGATCCATGTGGCATCAAGAATGCAAGAATTATTGAGGTATTAGAAACCACAGAAGTGCCTGTGAATGGTCATGCAAAAATTAGTGGTTCTTCCCCCAAAAAGTCAGTGGGACCAATGCAGGCAGCATGGGCAACAGACAGGAGGAACTGGAAGCCACTGTGTATCAGGAAAGCTATGACATATTTGCTATCAGAGAGACATGGTGGGATGACTCACACAACTCGAGTGCTGCAACAGGTGGCTGTGAATTCTTCAAAAAGGACAGGAGATGAAGGAGAGGCAGGGGGGTAGCCTTGTAAGTCAGAGAGAGTTTTGATTGTCTGGAGCTTAATGGTGGTGTGATAGGGTTGAGTGTATCAGAGCGAGACTCAAGGGAAAGGCCAACAAGGTAGATATTGTGGTGGGAGTTTGTTACAGACTTCTCAAGAAGTATGAAGAGGCAGATAAAATATCCTGTAAGCAACAGGGAGAAATCTTACAATCACTAGCCCTTGTTCTTGTGTGGGATTTCAACTTACCAGATGTCTGTTTGAAATACAACACAGCAGACACAACACAGCCTAAGAATTCAGGAAAGGCAAATCCTGCTTGACCAACATGGTCTCCTT